CACTGGAAGGGTGTTCTTCTACAGCACGCTGCATATTTTAGTATTTCTCCGTGTTATTTGTCTGTGGTTTCAATTAGCTGGTATGACTTTTAATTTTTTATTACTTTATATAATAAAATTATCTGATTTTATTGTTAAGACTGGATGCATATTTCAGAAGGGCCTTAGTCTGAACTTTCCTTTAAACTGTATGAATAGACATACACCAGTATTTACAGGAAATATTGTAGTTTGTACTCTTTACAGTACTACATTTGTCTCACAGTTGTAGTCTTCAGTTACTTTACTGAATAGAAAAAGAATCAGCTCAGTAGGTTTACACATACAAGGAGTCTGATTTGGTGTTTTGGTGCTAATATAGTAAAATAAATAGTATTAAAATAAATATAGGAAATATAAGAAAGATAAAGATATAGCGAGTACTGCAGGTCATCATACGTTTTACATATAATGAACAAAATTATAAACACAACACTTTTGTTCTGTGTTAGTGAGCACTTCTCCTTTGCCAAGATAATCCTCCACCTCACAGGTGTGGCATATCAAGATGCTGATCAGACAGCATGCCTATTGCACAGGTGTGCCTCAGGCTGGCCACAATATTATGTATTATATAATACAAACAGCCTAATATTTGAGAGAAATAGGTCCTATATTTGGGTTGTGGACAAAACAAGACAATTGAGAAACATCATCTGGTGCTTTGGGAAACGCCAATCGACATATCTCACAATATCTGACATTTTATAGACCAAACAACCGAATCAACAGAGTAATCGACTATGACAATAACCTTTTGTTGCCGCCTAATAGCAAGGCATCAGATTATATGAGACCATCACGTGTTTTATATATAAAATATTAACCCGTAAAGTATCTAAAGCTGTTTTAATGTAGTGAAGTAAAATGTTCCCTCTGAGTTGCAGAGGAGTAAAAATAGAAACAAGCATACATTTTTCTTTCCCTTAGTAACTGACTGCAGATGAAAACAGTAATTTTATAAATCATACATCACATTATGAGTCATTGGGTCAACAACAAAAAAAAAGTGGATCAAGGATTACTTAAAACAAAACTGAAAGCACAAGCCTGGACAGGTAGATATCAGAGAGAGAGTTACTGCAGTAAGTTATGATCCTGTTGACTGATGTGTTCAAACGGCTGAATAAAGGTTACGGGATCATAATGACTCTGTGTTTAAAGCAGCGGTGGAAGAAGTACTGAGATCCCTTACTTAAGTAAAGTAACTATCCTACAGTGTAAAAATACTCTGTTGAAAAGTAAAAGTCCTGCATTTATAATTCTACATGTATTATAAATGCAATAATAAAAGTATTACCAGAAAAAAGTTCTTAAAAGTTCCAAGAGTACTCACCATTGTTGTGAGAATGAGAAAAGTGTGAAGAAAAGGACACTGGAAGCCACTGGTTCTGGGTCTTGGGGGGCCTTCATAGAAACAGTTTGACTGTCTGACACATATACAAGCCAAATAATAAAATTATTTGCTTTTGATAATCATTATATGCTTAGCTCATTTTACACACGTACAACATTTTAAGTAATACTGTCTTTATTTCTTTAATAAGTCCTATATCTCTGCATCTCTTGTGCCTGATCATACCTTTGCCTCTAGAGACCTTTGTCTTTGTATGGTTAGACATGCTAAGGGTCAGTGCATGCTGAAGTCTCCAAAAAACGCTAGTTTCCAGTAAAGAGGAAGCTAAGTTCCACTCTATTGCTGTAAATTAAACCAAAAGTTGAAGCGTCCCTGACGACACATTCGTGTATCTCACGCACATGAGGGGAGGTGTGAAAAAAGGTGTGATGCAAGAGGAGGAAGGTCAAGAGTTTTACTTCTTAAGTTTAGCAAACTTTAAGACTTGTCTTCTGTAAGGACGTCTCATGTATGCAATCCCTGATGACATCAAGATAATAATTTTAAATCAGGAAAGAAGGCACTATTTGCCACTGTGAAAACGAAAGCAACCTCATTTTGAGATTAAAAGAACTGAAGGAAAGTAAGATGGTGACAACCCATGATTGATGTCTTTTCTGCATCTGATGCATTTATATATAGATATATAAGAGAGGAAATGCTGAATTTGTCCTTTTTTTAAATTGAGACCTGCTGTTTCTGGTCTTTATGCATTGGAAATGAGAAAAGATTGCACAATCATAGTTTGTTGAATCTACATGATGTTTTATTATTTTACTTGCTAGTTTTTATTGTTAATTTGTGACTAGTGCAAAGGGGTGTTGCAACTGCTGGCAGGAAGTGTGTGGTATCTTTATGAAAAAAGAAAGGATATGAGGTGAGAATGTAAGAAGGTCAATCTGATGGCTAAGTTCTGGCAGCCTATTAACGTTGAGGTCCTTCCTGCTGATAAATTATTTAAGTTAGAGCTCAAGAAGGGGAAGAAATAAAGAAGGAGGGGTGAGGGGAACTTTTGGGGGCTTCTGTTTTTGCATTTTTTAGAATATAAATAAGTTTCTGTTTGGGTGCACACCTTCAGAAACTAGCAAGAAACAGATCTTGTCTTATACCTGGGACACATGGAAGGAACTGTAAACACAGGAGATCAATACCTGGTCAAGACTCTCCTCTCTATCACTAAGAACCAGTTTATACCTGTTTATACCAGTTTTTATATTTATTAACATTCATTAGACAGGTGCATCTCAGAAAATTTGATTATCGTGGAAAAATATTTTGAGATTTGGAGTTTTGATTTCCATGAGCTGTAAGTCATTAATGAACAAGATTAAAACAAACAAAGGCCTGAAATATTTCACTTTAATAAATCTAAAACATGAAAATTTACCTTTTTGACTTAAATTATGAAAATAATGACTTTTTCCAGATTATTCTTCTGATTTTCTGAGATGCACCTGTAGATGATAACCTGCGTGATGGAGAATCTCTTATACAGGTTAAAAAATGAAGGAAGATTATTTCGCAGAAGTCTGGGGAAAATGCTGAATATATAAATTTAAAAAAGCATAAATAATAAATAGTATAATAGAACGTAGATTTGTTCCTCCCTATACGCTTTGTTCACCTTTTCATTGTATTTTCTTTTCTCTTTTTTACCCTCAGTAATTAAACTCTACCAAGAAAACAAATTTAAAAATAAAGACTGAGTTAAAAGAAACTGAAACAAACCTGCCAGAGAGACAGATTAGTGTCTGGAAAAGATGCTAAGAATTCAAGTCAGTTTGTTAAATACTGGTCAACGCCCTATTTCCCAGGTTACAAAAGATATCGCCTATTAAAGTAGACATGAGTCATACATGTAGTTCTGTAGCAGTATGAACATATTTGCAGTGTTATTATAAAAACAAGCTTTTTTCAAGGTAAAAAATAACTAAATAAGTTTTTTAAAATGCCAACTATGCAAAATGTGCCGTTTCAGAGTGTGAAATTATGGAGCCTTCGAGGTCCCGACAGATAATTTGTCCAAACAAGTTCCTATCGTGTGCAAGAAAGACTGTAGTTTTATAACTTTATTATTCTTAAAAGTACATGATGAGCTCACTTAAATCAGTCAAGTATAAAGTAGCATAAATTGGATATACTCAAGTAAAGTACAAGTACCTCAAAACTGTACTTATGTAAGGTACTTGAGTAAATGTGTAAGTTACTGTCCACCAAAACCTCCCACACAAAAGGTTGTAAAAGAGCCTCATGCAAAAACATTTTCACATCCCGCCCACATGTCACGAGGAGTTCATCCAGGAAGTCCTGCTTTGGATCAGTGTGTTTGTCTGAGTTGCGGCTCTAACAAGTTTCACATCCGTGATTTAAACCGAGACAACAACCATTCATCTGTCTCTGCCAATTTATCAGCACGCTGCGTCTCTTCCAAAGGCCTGAAGGCATCCAGCTGACCTTATTATATACAGAGACAAATTAACCTTCAATTAGTGCATCAGTTAATTTGTTTTGCAGTTTGAGACGTTCATATGGTGGTGTTGCTTTACACAGAAGCATCACTAACCAATATATATAGATAATATGAGACGCATTGCCTTTGGGGTTTCCCACCGACGTGTCCCTGAGCAAGACACTTAACCCCTAGATGCTCCAGAGGCGTGCAATTGTAAGTCTCTTTAGATACAAAGTTATAAATGTAAACACGATGACGTCAACATAATTACTTAGACTTTGACTGATAAAAGGATTTTCAAACTCAATGAAATGTACAATCCGTTGGGCTGCTATCCCAAACCTGGGTTGGGATAGCAGCTTAGTTGTTTTCGTGCCTGAATGCGGAAAGTTCTCCTAAATCACTCGTATAAGAACAAATCTGTTAGTGCGAGTGGTTCCTGCATGAGGCACAGTGACGCTGTGGTCCAGTCTAATGAGCTGGAACTGCTGGTTCAACTACTGACGCAACAACCCCATTTTTTAAAGCCTGTATTTGTTCACATTTTGGCAAATTGGCATCTTCAAAAGTAGCCGAATGACCTATTAGCACCTCCTGTTGGCAGCGTATCTGTGGACATACAGACAACTTACTTTGATACTGGAGAAAACTTTCTCAGCCATTCTTAACAGATTCCTGGAGGATTATTCACACAGAACATCAGAGGTAATGATATCCTCAGAAAAGTGCAGGTCACACTTCAAAAATGAGTACAGACAGTAATGGAGCGTTTCAAAGAACCTTAATCACGTCCGTGAGCTGTAACTGCCGACCGTGTTGGTGAGCGGGGACAAAAGACAAACCAACCTCACACACCTTCAGCTCTCTCCCTGTCAAAGCTTCTGTTGTAACCGACAGTTTCAAAGACACCAACACCACGCAGACAGCCATGAACTCAGTGAATATTTATTAACACAGAGGAGGAACCAGAAAATAGATTTACACTCAACTACTAACAGGTGAAAAAAAGAAGCATTATAAACAAACAAACAACCCCCCCCCCCCCCCCCCGTGCCACGCTTTGCTTTCAATTACAACAAGTTGATCATTCATAAAAACTAATTAGAAAAAGTGAACAAAAAAAAAAAAAAAAACCCTTTCATGAAGATAGAGAAGCAGTCAAATATTGACCAATTATGTCCTTTTCATACTCGTATAAAACGTGATACATCCATTAAAAAAGTTTAAAAAAAGAAAGCTTATCTACAGCCTTTAAAAAGAGGTACAAATCAGGTTTAGCTGTACGTGATTTCTGTTGTTTTTTTTATTTGATTTCATGAATTCACAAAGTAAAAACGGCCCCTCACAGCTGATTGGTTCTTCTGAGTGAGAACGGCTGAGTTAAGGCACCGTGGGAGCTCGCTGCTGATTGGTGGGCAGAGGTATGAGGCGGGGCGAGGAAGGGCTGAGAGAGCAGAGGAGGAGGAGGAGGAGGAGGGGGTGAACACCTGGAAGAGGCCATGTGGGGTGAGGAGATGGGCGTGTCGCAGGAGGACGACGGCGTGGAGGGTCCTGGAGTGACGGCGTGTCGGCTCAGAGGGTGGGCGGTCCTGTGAGGTTTGGTGGTGAGGGACAGCGGCTGCAGCTGCTCGGCGTACGGCGACGTGTGTCCACTGTGGCTGTAGGAGGAGTGTGTGTGCTCGGTGTGCGTTGGAGCCGGCGCCGCCGGCGAGGCCAGCGCGGTGGTCGGCGTCGCCGGGGAGTCCAGGGAGGAGGCGGGGCTGGCCTGGGACAGGTGTGTGTGCGTCAGGTGGGAGACGGTGTGCGGCTGTGTCAGGTGGGAGCGGGGGTGTGCGTGCGCAGTCTGTGTGAGCTGAGCGTGAGCGTGAGGCGCCTCCTCGGACGGCACACGAGGTCTCTTCAGCTGCGGGGGGAAGTCCTCTTCAGGCGGAACTGAGAAACAAACACAAACATACCGATCACTTTCAACTTCGGTCGTTTTAGACGCCCTTACTGTTCCTGTACAGCTGGTACGCCTCTGTCCACTATTACGATCATTAAAAAGCAGAATAAATAAAGAGAATAAATCGTTCGTCTCCTTTCAGCCTCTCTGGGTAGCGACTGTAACTAATACAAGATGCCTCAGGAACAGCGTTTGACCTGATCTTGGAAAAATACAGCCAAAGAAAACTAGAAAACGACTCTTTTTGCATTAGAGTCAAAGGAGCGCAGCCACGAAAATGTCCGACCTCAGTTAGCGCGAGGCCTATACTGCGCTGTGATTGGCCAGCTGTGTGTTTGGGGCGTGGCTTAGTGAAGGGTCAATTGGTCTGTGAGTTTCCTGAGACGCTAAACCAGTACAGTAAAATAGAAACGCTCTGTCACAAGGTGGTAATTCTCAATGAACCGGCTGTGGGTCGGGGGCCTGGAGAGGACAGGGTGGCTGGGTCGGGATCTGGATCCCAGGTCTGCCAATTAGTGACCTCTGCTCTAAAGCAAACGCTGCTTTGTTGTCTATTTTACAAGTGGGCTTTCACACCTGCCTCATGTAGTTCGGCTGAATCGCACTGGAGTTTGTTTCCCACCTCAGTGCGGTTCGTTTGGGCAGGTGTGAATGCAGCAATCGCACTCCCCCTTGAAGAGGTGGTCTCAGTACAACACGCCTCCTGTTTCTACGTCATTATGTCGTCGAATTGCAGTCTAATAATACTTGTAATAATAATAATAATGTTTTTGTTCTTTGTGATACACATCAGAGGCATTAAAGGGCTGCGTAAACTTCTGTCAGTCACTAGAATTTGATTTCCACACGTGGGTCCTGATGAATCTCCACAGCTGTCCAATCAGTGAGTTACCCGTCAGTCTGTGCAACTCCATGTTTCCATCTCTTAGTTTGTTTGTAAAAAAAACAAAAACCAAAACCATAAAATCTTTAGTTAAGTTTTTAGTGAGGTTATAAATCAAGTAAGAAGCAGCCTCATTTTCTCAGACCTCTAAAACAAGCCGACTTCTTTTTGCAACCAGTGGAGTCGCCCCCTGCCGGCCGTTTGAAATAATGCAGGTTTCAGATTTGGCTTCACTTTTCACACAACAGCTGTGCTGAAGCGTTCACACCACACAGCCTCCGACCCGCATTCTGCCGTCATTAGGTGCGTTTTCATTCACCTGTTTTTATGCACATTTTAAATGTGACCATTGAAAAGCTGGAATTGGGACATTTAAACCATTGGAGATTGGAGATATTCTATGTTTTTCCCATTAAAAGGCTGAAAGCAGCAATGAAATGTAGACTCCTGGAGACTTGAGGAATTTCTACAACCTGCAAACTAAATCAGGTCCATTATTGATCGAAGACTCTCTGACTGTGGCAGCATCGTCTTACCTTCAGGCTGAGTTTCACTCTTAGCCCTCTTCCTCTTCTTCTTTTTACCCTGCACAAAAAACAAAACACATGAAACTTTCCATCAGCTGTAAACGACACTGGGAGCAGTAATGCGGCGCGGCGGCGTGAACACACAGCTGTTTGAGTTGGACGTGAGCAGCTGTACTCACGTAGTTGTCTCTGGCCGACCACCCGGGGTACAGCTTGGAGTGGAGGAGTCTCTCTTTGCGAGCCAGTTCGTAATATTTGGCCTGTTCCTCTTTGGACAACGAATGCCACTGTGCGCAGAAAACGAAACACCGTCACACACACAAACTTGTTCCACTATACCTGTGGGGACATCTCACTGACTTAATGCATTCCCTAGGCGACTAACCCTGACTTTAACTTTAACCCCTAACCTGTCACCTGAACGCTAAGATTTATCTTAACCCTCAAACAGCAGTCTCTACCCGTCGGGACCTAATTATTGTCCCCATCAGTTGGTGTGCGTTCAGGATCTAAAAACATGAAACACACACACACACGCAAAGACAGATGCATAAATATTAACAAAGAAAAAGAAAATGTTTTACACAAACTGTTGTGACTTCTTTCTCTTGAATTTTACAACTTTATACAGAAACCTTGTCCTTGAAATATTATTACTTTATGATCAAACTATGATTTTTTTTTTTTGCCTCCTAAATTTTAAACTTTCTTCTCAAAGTATTTTGACATTTTTCGTGTATATTTTAAACTTTATTTTCAAAATATTACAACTTTTTTTTCTCCTGGCAAAATTTTAACTTAATTCTCAGAATATTAAGATTATTTCCTATTAAATCTATCTATTAATTTACCATAGAAGTATTAAAACCCAGGAACTTGAAATAGTACGACTTTCTGATAAAATATCATGACATGATATAATGAATATAAACAATTCTGAAAAAAATAATTACGATTTCTTGGACTGATATTGCGATTCTAGGGGACAATGATCATTTTTTACATAATTATTTTCATATAAAAACACATTTAACGATGATTATGGTCTGATTTTTGAAGGGATCTGCACCAAATAAAGATGTTTTTCTTAAGTTTGTAGAATATGATGTGTGAATTGTGACACACATTTTCCTTCAGATTAATTGTTCAGCCTTAAGAAATATTAATTATTTGAGGGCAGATCTTCGACTTGCACAAGTTGACACACTAACCCTCTGTCCTAGTATTTGGTTGATGGTCGCGCTCTCTTTAACTTTGCACTGAGCGACCACTTGGGGCCTCTCCTCCCTCATGTACAGCATGAAAGCATTCAGCGGCTTCTTGATATGAGGCTTCCTATCGTCTTCTTTCTCTGGCGGGGGTTCAGGCATCGACTTCCTGCAGGGACAGGGAAACAGACAGAGTAGAAGCGCACGTTACAGACACAGTAGGACGAGCTTAAGTTCCTGTTCATGCAGGCATCTTGGTAGAAAAACCTTTAATCAAACGACTTCCGCTAGAGAAGACACATATGGTATTTGTGATCTGATTAAAGGGATACGATTCTTATCCAATACGCTTTTTGTTAAATTCGGCAAATATTTCCTTATGGGTCGGTAGCTCTCTGTTTTTTGTGTGCTCTGACAGCCCCGGGTCTGTAAATTGAGCACAAACAAAGCTGCTCTGAGCGAGCAGCAGGTGGCGGTGGCGCGCTCGAAGCAGTGGGAGAGAGAATGTAAACAAACAGCGGTACGTTCGAACATGCTGGACTCATTACGGGACTTTAGCTGTGAAGATAACTGAGAAACAGCCACAGAGGGAAAGGTCTGAGGAACTGTGAGACAACTTATATGACCAGGCGAGGGGAAGACCTGCGTTAACATCTGTGAAGGGTTTCAATGCTGGATAAATCTACCAGATTTGAAAGGAATGAAAACCGATGCTGAGGTTGCTCAGTTTCTGCTGGACAGGTGAGGAAAGTTAGCTTTGCTGTTCCACATAAACAACAGCTTCAGTGTTACAGTCTTGTCTGTCTGTTGTCATGTTTGTGATGATCCCAGCTGGTTAGCTTTGTTAGCGTGTGTGAATAGAGGGAAACGGGTCAGCACCTTGTTCAGCAGTAAATGTACAGTAGAAGTTACAGAGGCCAGTGAATAAAGACTGCAGCTTGTCAGGACTAAAGAGGAGCTCCTGTGTGTTGCTGCTAACTGTTGAATAAAGAGTGAAGGAGGTTAGTCCCACAGTTCGCTTTGACTTCGGCTCTGGAGATAAACAGTCGCTCCTGTGCTTCCCAGCTCTTTTCAGTCACTGTATTTTTGTAAAAACTATTTCAAATAACTCGCAAGTTTTTTTACTCTGTTGTGTTTTGGATTCTGCGTTTGTGAGCTTACACACATTGTTCGATTCATGATGTTTGTTCACTAATTGTAACTTCCTCGATAATCCTACTGATAAATAAACTAGACTCCGTGTCATAGATTTAGGCTTAGAAAAGTATTTTGCTTCAGTACATATTTAAATATTGTCTACAGTGCTGCTAGAACGCGCCCTCTTATTGAGGCCAACGTGCTCTCGGGCAGCAGACGCTGTAGATTCTGCTATATTTCAGCAGAGTAGGGCTGGTTACCATGGCAATGTGCGTTCATGAGTTTGTTTATCAACAAACTCTCTGCAGAACCGCATAGCATCCCTTTAAGTGTGTGGTTTCTTTCTGCGTTGGAGGCATCAATAAATGAAGGAATATAGGAGTTAAGTGATTTAGATTTCGTTACCCAGGCTGGCTGCTGCATCCAGGCTCCTGCTTGATCCCCGTGGGGACGATGGCGGGATGGGGAATGGACGACTGGGGGGTCGGCACCAAACGAGGAGAGAAGCCGCTCGACACCAGGCTGCACACACACACGAAACGCTCATTTGATACCACAGATCAGGAGCCAGTCCCCATAAAGCAAACATCAGTAAACTACATTTATATTTATTTCTACACCGTGCAGCTACCTGCACAACATCAATCACCTCTGTGTATAAAAGGTGCGTATGTGTACACATAGCTCATCTATTCTGTTTTTATTTACTGTGTATATTCTAATCTGCTTTGTTGTATCTGTAGCTGCTGTAACAGGTGAATTTCCCCAGTGTGGGATCAATAAAGTCTCATCTTACGTATTCACCGAAGATGGAAAAAAATAAATACTACTAATAAACTTTACTTGAAAAGCCTGCACATCATATGAAATTATAATACAGTAACGTCATACGATTAATATATTTTTTATACTAACAGTATACTATTAAATGAACATTATACTTTTAATTTAATGTTTCAATATTATACTAATACACTAATTTAAAACTAGTTCCTCCTCCAGGTTGTGGATAGAGACAGATGTAGATTTAGCCAGAGTCAAGAAGTCATTGTGACAATAAGTTCTCCTTCTAGCCGCCTCCTCCTGAGCAACACGCTCCCCCTGTTCTGTTTTTATTAATTAAAGTAATTGTAATAAATATTGTTCAATAATTTACATTAAGTGTGGTGTGCACAAGGAGCACACACACACACACACACACACACACACAGCAATAAATTGTTACGTGAACAGGCCTAAATTTCTTTGTGCTTTCAGGGGAAAAGAAAAATGTTAAATAATATCGCTAAAAATCATGATGACTATTTAATAGCAGATTAATGGACACAAGTCAAAATATTTCAAAACAAAAGTTTTACGAGAAAATGTCATAATATTTTGAAATAAAGCTGGACAGTTAAGAGACACAAAGTTATGATATTTTGAGAACAAAGTTGTAATATTTTTAGAGTAAATTTACAATATTTGGGAAACAGTTTTAAGTATAAAGCTGAAAATGTATGAGAATAAACAATGGTCTATAAATTGTCAGGTGCTTTTATTTGAGAATGTTTTCATGGTGGTTTTCGGGATATGGCCCAAGTAGTTTCAACGGGCAACAAGTCAGTGAAATCATTTGAAGAAAGGCCATTAAAAGCATTTAAAAAAGTAAATCAGAAGACTAAAATGTAAAACTATATAAATCAACAGGAAACACAACTGGACAAGGTTCTTGAATCGAGCTACAGATCTGTATAAAAAATTACACCGAGATTTAAAACGACTTTAGAGCAAAACACACTCTCACCTCGACATGGAAGCGTTCATAGCGAGGGCCGCAGGAGAGAAGCTCCCTGCGATGGGATACATCGACTGTCCCTGCCTGCACGGACCAAAACACAAAGAGGCCGTCAAACGTCCTGCCACACGTAAAAATCAAGACAGCTGTTTGTTTACATTTACAGTATGTGTGTTTTACTCACAGCCATCCAAGAGGGTGCGGGATCTGAGCCATGCCTCCGGGAGAGACGGGGTAGCAGGCCGCGTGGGGGGTCCTCGACATACCAGCTGCACGGACAGCAGCACAGGTGAGACTCACACAGGTACGAGTTATATTCACCAGTGTGTGCGCTCCGACGCACGCTCGGAAACATTTAGGATTTTGAAACTACACTGCTTACCTGCGTCAGGGGAGAAGCCAGGAGAGGCCCGCTGAGGGGAGAAGGCCTCTGGGCTGTAGGACAGCAGAGGATGGAGGTGGGTCATGTGAGGGTGCTGCACCACCGGCACATTGTTAGACTAGAGAGAGACACAGCAGGTGATTAGTGGAGACGCAGTGGTGTCATCTGTCCACCAGGGGTCAGAACTTCCCCTAACAATTTCTCACAAACTGAAATACATTTTTCACGAACACGACAGATATATTGTCGTTGTTTTCACATGTTTCAGCAACAAGTTAAAAAGTTTGTGTTCCACTTGAAGTTCCCGACAAGACGTGAATGGCTTTATAAAAATGAAGACAAAGAAGACTTTTTTTTTTAACAGTTTTATTTTCAAGTATAAGTTTATTTTTATATTTGCTATTTTTATTTTATTTTTAAGCTTTAATTTATAACACACACTTACTGTTTTATTTTATTTATTTATATATTAATTTTTTAATATAATTTTTTTCCCCCCACACTTACTGTTTTATTTATGAATTGTATTAAATGAATTGTTCTTTTCTATTATATTTTGAGCTCTGGCAATATTGTTGTTTAACATTCATGCCAATAAAGCTGAGCTGAATTTACCTGAAGACCACGTAGCTTTACTGCTGCACTATTATTCCAACTCTGGAGTTTTTAACGTGAAAGGAAGTGTATCAGCAGATGCTTTTTAATACACTTTTAAAATATTTATGAAGAAGCATCAGTATGTCTGTTTACATCATTTCTTTTTAAAGATGATTTTAATGTAAGAGGAAACAGGTGATAAGTTTGTGAATGTCACGTTCTCTAAATGCACAAACTACATGATGCCTTTTCCCAGCGACTGTGATGTTCTTACATATTTTCTTTTTTTCTCCATTTATGACAAGAGATGCAAAGACAATAACTTAATTATTACTGCAAGATATTGCTGTCAGTAAAGACGGGAGCATCATGACTGAAAGGCTTCTGTTTAGTTTCTTAACTGTAGCAAGAAAGTATTAATGTTTTATTTACCTCCATCAGTTCATTTTGTGCTTCTTTTTCCCCAGAGGAATATGATGCTGCGGCAAAATATAATCATTCTAACCACAGAAAGTTATCAGGAAACAAAGGCAGGTGTAATTTATAGTAAGGGTGGGGTAGTTTTAAAATGCGAGGTTTTATTTACATCTACTTGTGTTTTTTTTTTTTTTAAAGGAAGTAAAAATATTCCAGGAAATCCCTGTTTGATGAAAAGCCACAATATCATCCGATAACATTCACTACTGCTCATTTCAGGATTCCCGAGACGTTTATCTCTCAGATCGGTGGTGTGTTTTTTTTAATCCACAGTTTGCTTTTTGACAGTTTAATTCAAATGTTATTTTTTTGAAGCACCATCTCATACAAAAGCAGATCCAAGTGATTTACATAAAAACAGCGAAAAGATAAATGATCTGTATCACAACAACAACAACTGCAAGAACTGAAGGAGCTGGAACTGGTCCTGGTCTGCAGGGGAGGCCAAACCTTTTTGATCGTGGGTCAGAAACAGAAAAGTAAAAAAGTAACGGGCCCAATTCTGAAATCCGTCTTTTTGGTTCTGGTTATCAACTGGAGGTAAAATGTTTTCATCGACTAGTAATCCATCCTCGCCGACAGTCGAATCAATCAAAACTATTCAACGACGTATCAAACAGTCAAAATCTGATTACTGATCAGCTGCATAGACGCACAGATTCATTCACTGCACTTCATTGATATCATGATGTACAGGAAGTACTGCATGTATGTCATAGCGTGTGTGGTTAATCTTACCAGGTGTGTCGGAGTAGCAGAGTCTCTGATAGATGATCTTCCTGGTACGTCTAGCAGAGGCCACTGAAAGGGCAGATACTGCAGACAGACAGACAGAGAGAGATTGATTAAAAACACACACAAACCAAAAATCCTCTTGCATGCACACATCATTTATTTTTTACTTGAGCACAGCGGGGGCGGAGCTTCATCCTGCTACAAAGTCATATTAACCAAGTTTACATGACCCCAGACTCACTCTGAAAGTCCACAGAGTCTGTCTGCTTCTCTGCTGCCAGAGCTGATCGCAGCCATTCTACTAAATGTTTGTGCTCAAACCAGAAGCGCTGCAGTGCGTCCCAGAAGAGTCCCAGCGCCCAGCAGCACAGAGCAGATGAACCGAGCAGGAAGTCAGACACAGAAACGGCAGAGGATTCGGTCAACTTTCAAAATAAAATACCTGTTACAAGACTTCCGTCCTGTTTATCAACAATAAAAACAGCTAAATCAGACAAAAAAGAAACAATTCAACTACGTAGCCAACTTAATCATAGAAGCACAAAAAGCACCAATCACCAAATCAACAAAATCTAAACATGTCGGCAAAATCAGGCGCTCTTATTCGAAATGCTCCCTGTGGTAGTTGCACCCGTCAAGGCGAGAAACGAAAGCGGGCTAGATGCTCCCCTGCTGAAACACCGAGAGGCTTCCTGTGGACTTTGACACCGTAAATAAACCGCTGCGAACACGCAGCCTACGCCCCTCCCTCAGAATTCCCATGATGCACGACGGTGAAGGGAGTTTTGTTAAAATGTGCTAATAAGTTTGCCATTTATTTGAAATACTTTATGATATATGTTTATTAAAAGGTGTCTCTAGTGTGTTTGTTGGTAATTGTCACTCTTGTGGTGGTTTACCATTGAAACCATGAGTGAGGAGACGGTTTCATTTGATAAGAGCTGCTGAATTCTCCAGATATAGCGCAGCGTCATGTACCGCTGGTGTTTGTTCATGTCCACAACAATCAATAGAGCTAAACTTAGTCCACCCACGCACCCACGCACCCACGCTACATCCGCTTATGGAGCACAGAATACATTTTCACACGCAGTACTGGATTCAAGAGACTGCAAGTTATAGAGTTAATCCGCTTGTGTGACAGGAGGAAGTAGATACGGTGCAGAATTTTACACAATTTAGTCTATTGAAATGAGTCATTCTGGAGTTTCGTGTTGAGTTCCTTCTTCTTCGTTGGTGTAGGCTACTACAAAGCATCCGATTCGGATTCTAATTTTACTTTTCGAATCTGTTTATCGAATCTCGGTTCTGATTAATTCACAACAGATCTCTTCAGCGCTCGGTGACCTTCACCCTCTTCCTCCTGCCTCATCTTCCCCTTCATGGCTAAAGTGAAAGAAGTCTCTGTACCAGAGGGGCGTCTCTGGACAGAAAAATATATATTGAATCATTTCACATCATTCGTTTCCCTTCAGTATAAAAAGGTGAACGTCAGCTCACCTGTGTTTTGTACTGTGTGCTGCTACTGTTAGCGTTAGCTGGGGAGAACGAGACACGTTGAACACGGCGCGTTCCTTCAGATTCGTGCTGAAGTAAACGCTTCGTCATGTTGGAGCTGCTTCCTCCCTCGCACCAAACCTCCTTACTGCGGCTGTTGCATTTTGCTCTGTCGTTCTCTTTTTTTAGTGAAGCTAAGCCAAACTTTGGAGCGTTTGCCGCCACGGTCCAGCACTGGAAACAGAAGGACTCTCTTCTTCATGCTTTGTTGACGTAACAAATGATGTGACGTTAGGTCGGCGTAGCGGCTCCTGGCAGATAAGGGACAATTTTACTGACTGTAAAATGCTCACTGCAGTTCAATCAGGAGCTGAAATATGCAGAAATTTAGGAACCGAGAAGCAGAATTCAAACGCACGGGTCTTATCAAAGCCACTTTTCCTGGAAATTTGGTAAATGTTCCAACTTTGAACCGGTTCTCGATACCAAACCCATGTCAGGACCAATCTCTGAGTGTGCAGGAAGATGTAGTTACTGCTGAGCCACACACACATCACTACCTTTGACACCAGGTGAGATTACGCAGTTCAACGTTGTTTATCACCCCCATGTTTACGTTCTTTCTGCTGTCAACCCCGACACACTTCAATGAGCAAAACGACTTACACAAGAGAAAAAAGAAGTTACGGACAAGGAGCTCTGTTGGGCTGAAAGTCAACTGGAAAACGTTACGTTTGGACAGACAGTATGTGTGTGGAAGCTGTGAGTCTCGAGTTAGACAAAGAAGAGTCCAATAAGTTGGCCTCGGCCCCACCCCCCATCTTTACGGACATATACACCCCACCAGCCCCCCGCACCACTGGGCTCCCACTGTTGATCGAGCCGTCTGAATCTGGGAGACCCCCCTGAACGATCACCTCCCACCCCAGATACAGACGGACACACACAGAGCCCCACAGAAAGAAAAAAAGAGGCCTTTGGTGATCATTCAACTGTGAGCGACGTCCAAAGACTCACTGTGACCTTTGACCCTAAACAAGAGGAGAGAATCCAAAAGGAGGAGACAGGAGGACTGAGGCTCTAATACCTCCCCTGACTACCAAGTAGGGTTTTAAGTGTATTTGGGATTATTAATTTTTCTATTAAGATATTTATATTGTTGAGAAAAAGGGACTTATAATAATTACTCATAATTGTTTTTAAATGTTCTTCCTCAGATTTGTGAAGTGATCCACTGTTTGGCATCAATGTTAGTTCTGACCATAAAGAAAAGTTTAACCATCCGATTTCTTTCTTACTTTCACTCAGGAGCAAAAAAAAAAAAAAAAAATCAGCCTTTAAACTTTAAAGAAATGATGATTTGACATTTATCCTGATAATTATCAATATTGAATGATAAGAAATTATTATTATGAAGACATTTCAAAATGTAGACTTACAGAAGCTACTTAGGGACACTTTTAGTCTAACTTTTTACAATAACATACACAACATCCGCTATGTGTAATGATCACAGCCAAACTGATCTCTTTTCAGAAACACGTAACATAAAAAGGTACAAGTTAGGTTTATTTGTCACATTACAGCGGGTTGTAAAGTGAGATTGAGTTTGTAACTCCCTTCTGCCACGTAGCAATAATATAATAATCAAAAGCAATCATAAAAATGTTAAAACAGAATTAAACTATATTCAACGGAGCAGTGGTGAGGATGAATTTGAGTTTAAAAGTCTGATAGCTTGGGGGGAAAAGCTGCTCTGGTGCAGCAGCAGAAACTTCTCTCTCTCTCTTCCCAGCAGGCAGCAGGGTGAACACAGATTATCCCTAACATTTGTCACGTGTAGTTATGCGAGCTTAACCAAGATAACATGATGCAGTTTAAAAATGAACTCTCTTTATGGTTATAAATAAACAAACGCACAGCTGTGTTTTGTGGTGTTGCCAACAGGGAAGCTGCAGAGTGCCCTCTGGTGGACAAAATATGCAACAACACTCATGATTGAAGGTCTATCTTTTTTTAACTGTCATTTATGGGCCGTTATAAACAAACACAGATCCCGATTTATCTGCAATTAGCACATAATGATCAAAAACTCATTTAAGTACATGCAAATGCACCGATTATTTAACGGGGAAACAATACACGTCTCCAGTCAGCACAACAAGGAAGCGAGCATGTCTCCTCATAGTCAACTCTTATCTCCAGCTCATCTCATTTTGCTCCAGACCGTGATGCAAACATGCATCTGCACGCGGTTTAAAACCCCCTGACATTTACTAACCCCAGCCTGGAGACACACACACACACACACACACACTGCAGCCTCATCCCATCCCCCCATTCAGAGGCTCGAGGAAGCTCTGGCTGAGAGCGCTAACTGGATCCAGCTGTTGGAAATACCAGGAAACTCTCTCACTCACTCACTCACACTCCTGCACAATCAGAGTCTATTACTGATGGAAGTATAAAATCACCGTGTGACTAGAGGGGAAAGTTACGAGGCTTACTGCTGTTTTACGAAACACACACAGGACAAAGGGCTGAGGATAAAGCAAACACAGAACAACATCACGAAGATGTAAACACGCATAGTTAATCAGAACTAAAGCTTTCAGTCCACGAAATCTACATTTCTGTGTAGGGCGGCAACTAACTGTTATTTTCCTGATCGGTTCATCTGACGATCCATAAAATGTCACACAATGGCGAAAAATGGCGATCAGTGTTTCCCAAAGCTCAAGGTGACGTCACTCAAATGTTCTAAAGATATTTAGTTTACTGTCAAAGACACCACAAAATATTCACATTTAAGAAGCTGAAATGACAGAATTTAGCCATTTTTTCCTTAAAAAAAAAAAAAAAAAATGACTGAAAACGTTGAATTGCTTATTAAAACAGCTGGTGATCCATTTAATTTAATCGACTTTTCGTTGCAGCTCTATTTCTGTGAGAATTTTTTGAGTTTGCTATTAATAAAACCTAAGAAGAGGAGCTGTGTCTAGTTCAGATCATAAGTCCCTTCTGACTTACCCATTATGTTTCTTATTGAATCAGTGGAACACGTTTTTTTATTTTCAGCACACACAGGCTTTTTCTTTACTGTCTTTCCCCCAACGTTTAAAAATCTGCATTTCTTCATGTATACAGTACATATCTTTATCAAACTGTGCTCGTCTAAGTTTTGGAATAGAAAACAACTAAGTGGTTACGTTTGTCCTGATAATGATCTCTCAAAGGGCCGCGGGGTGGTAAGATTCTTCTACAAATTGAACAACACACTCTGATCAGTTACGGCTGCATGAAACTGCAGCAGAAACCTCGTAATGGTTGGAAAGTCCGATCGAGCGGTTAGTTTTTGGAAACATTACTTTCTAATCAGGAGTTCATCTTTTGAAAGGTAGTTACCGAAACTGATTGTGTTGCATTCTACAGAATTAGAGCAGAAGCAGAAACAAATGCTCAACCTACATCGTCCACGTTTGCATTTGGGGAAAAAAACAAAACCTATTTAGTTCTTACTCGATTGATTGTTGCTGTGGGATCCTCAGATATCAAACTGATGCACGGTCCATCCGTATGGCTCTCTACAGCGTCCATAATGTCTGAGAAGAGGTTTTGCCCTCTTCTCGTGGCTTCTGATGTGAACACAGTTTCATGGTGTTGATGTGAATATATTTGGCCTTTTAAAGAGAAGAAGCAACACCTCAACTGGTATGAAAAGTTAATCAGTTCATCTCGCCCCACAAACAATCTCTCACACCTTCAAGCGAAACCCTTCACAGTTTTTATAGATATCCTGCGAAGTGATAAGCATCAGATGTGTGTGTTGTTTGCATGTATATAGGAGTGTGTCTGTATGAGGTTGTTGTTTTAGACAGGTCATCCTCTTGGTATTTTAAGACTCTGGAGACAATGTCGAGTAAACAGAGGAATTCTGGGATTGTTCAGCCTGCTGAAAGGGACCAACGTTAACTAAACAAGCAGAGCCACATTCTCACACACTAAAACACACACAACCACACACACAACCACAGGTGGTCGAGCTTCATCAACATAAAGCTTTTTTCCAGAGAATGAAAATAAAGCAAGACGCCTGCCATCTCCAGCGTGATGAACACATACCCGATAGCTTATCGGTCTCCCCGGTCCCCCTCCTGCCATTCACTGCTGCTCAGGTGTGACTTTGGTGTAAAGGTTGGTGCGTGTTTGTGTGTGCGTATATGCATGACCGAGTTTAGCAATGGCAAGGAAACCACACCAGAGGGTTTTTTTTTTGTGTGGTGATGACGAGGTAGAACTGTTATTGAAGGGAACAGACTGAGAGCCGCCGCAAAGTAAATATGGCGACATGCGCAGTATAAGTTTATACTTGTTATTTGAACAGTACAAAATGTTTTTTTATGAAAATATCAAAACTAAAAACACTGTCAGTAGATTTGTGTGTTTGCACCAATCAGGAAGTGAAACATGAGCGTCTGCAAGTCCTTAATTTCCGCCTGTCCGCACTGAAACTCTACCCCGGGGTTTTAAAACAAAAACGGGTTCAGCAGCGTTTTCAAACTTCCCCATTTCAGGTCTTTGGATTTGTTTTAGGTCTGGACGGCAGGCGGAAACGTAGTAAAAGGTCTGCGTTTGAAAACGGAAATCCATGTAGCCTGACTGATGTGCAGGGTTGGGCACCGAAACCCGGTGCCAATATGGAGCAAGTTCCTAGACGACCGGTATCTTCTGGACAGAAATTTTAGTTCCACTTAAATGTGTCAACTGAAATATTTTCCCTCTGGTGCCGTGAAACGGACGTAAGAAGCCCCACTACTACTACTATTTCGTTCCGTGAGCCGTCTCTGTCCCGAAGCTAACGCACACACGCTACACCCCAGCCTAACAGAAACAACAACAACAACAAGCCTGTCTGCCAATCACAGGTAGGAAAATAAATGATTGGCAGTCACACATTTGCAAACAGCCATGGCACATTCACTGACCTCCTGGAAACACTGGAGAAAACGGTAACTCCCATAATAATACAGTACTAACTAATTGCTGTTAGTACTGTAACTGTTATTTAGTGTTAAAAAACTGTATTTGGGTAGTTTTGTAATTTTGTAAATTTATTGTGTTTTGTATTTACTTATATGTATATTTAAGTCTACATTAAACAGATAATATATTGTTCAAAATTATAAAAATAACCAAACAAACACCTTTATTCCCCCCCTTTTATTGGCACCGTTTAGGCACCTGGACTTTTTTTTTTTTATTTGGCACCGGAATAAAAAAAAAAAAATCCAAAACGACAAAAGTTAAAGAGCGGTTAAAGAGTGGAGAGAGGAGGCGAGGAGCAGGCTGGACGCAGGTGGGGGAGGTTAGCAGAGGTCAGAGTAAGCAGACAGGTTGTCTACACGCTGACTTCTGCTTCCTGTCTGCGCACACGAGGACAGTAAACAGCCTGTATTATAGTTCAGGTAGCTTCCAACTAACGATAGCTTGTTTAGCTTGACTTGCCTACAGACTGACAGCCGCATATCCTCCTCTGTCTCTCTCATAACCACATCTAACTCTCTTAAGGCTGAAAAGTACACAAGGTCTCCTTTGTGTAGAGAGACATGCGAGGGGAGGGAAGGCAGAGTAAGAGAAGGAATATCTGTGTTGTCTCAAGGCAACATGCAGTCTAAGCACCAACAAGCAGTCAGTCAGTCACGGTGGAAATGTGTGTGTGTGTGGCGAGAAGCCACAGGCAGTGTGTTAGCTATAATGAGGTGTAACGATCCCCCCGTGGAGTCATGCATTAGGACCATTCAGACCCTGCTAATGACAACAATGGCCCACTAACACAGGGGGAGGGCCTTACAAAGCTGAGGAATGCAGGTGTTTGTGTGAGTGGGTCTGACTGTGTGTTTAGCCTACATGTGCATCTGGGCTAAATCCACAGAGGAAAGACTTTCAAAACAAACCAGAGGAGGAAAACAAAATCACAAACCCAGTGTCATTGTGCAACCAGAACACTAGCAAACCTGCACAGTCTTTATTTTTCAATAAAAATAAAAAATAACAAAGCTACGCAGGGTTACGGCTTGGTATCACCCACAATGTTCTGACACCATGTACCAAAAACAAAACAGTACTTTTTGTACCGTACTTAGATAAAAAGATGCATTTGCCTACAATAAATTAAAAACGGTTGGATGATAAAAAAAAACAACACTAAAATAAATCACAATTCATTGAACATTTCCCCTCGATTACGATTACTGAACGATTATTTTGTTTTTGAATGTTGTTTTTTTGCCCTCATATTTCACTGACAAGGTTTCTACTGTAAATATGCTCAACTATTAAAGCTGGGTTTATTTATTCACAGATTTCACAAATCCAATCTAATCTAAATGCTGTTAATAAGGTAATGTTGACGTGCAGATTACAGAGACATGGTTCTCATACATTCGGTGCATCGCCGGCGCTGCAGAATTATGACCGCTGATAAACTTTCACTCAATCATTTAATATCGATGCGGACCAAATGATTTTCACCCGCAGACTGTGAGAGCACGGTAAATCATGCCTTGCTTGCTTCCTCTCCTCATTCAAAGGACATCTACGTGACAGGTGCTGCTATAAGAGCAGCGGAGTTTGGTCTTTTAACTGCAGTGCAATGTGTTCGCGTAGCAAGTGACTGGACAAGCGAATGAGAGAGAGCGTGCGGCTGAAATCAAGCGAGTAATAAGTCGTCAGCCTGGCATTAAATGTACAGTGTAGGTCACAGTGTGTCTGTCTGTTGTTTCCACAACTGCTGGAAAGTGAAGGCAGTTAATGCTAGTTAACATCTCCCTGTGCTGCAGACTCCGGTCTGAAGGTCGAGCAGGACTGGATGGGACGGGGTCATGTGACTACACATGCAGTAGGATGTTTCAAAGGGAAAGTACATCAATACACACACACACACACACACACACACACACACACACACACTTAACATGATTATATAACTGAAATAACCAACATAGGGAAATTACGTTGGTTATAGGCTCTGAATTTTGGTTTTGATTACTTTTCAATTAATTGTCCAATCAATTAAAGTACAAGAACTTACAAAACCAACATAAACCTGGGAAAATTATGATTTAAAATAGTAGATATCAGATTAAAGAAAATGTAAACGTAACTACTGTGTGACACATTTCAGTAGCAGCTAAGAATTTAGAAATACTCCTCCCAACACCCGCCCTGTCACAAACCAAAAACGGGACTAGTTTGTTTTGATTACTTTGCACTTTTCACATCTGTCTTACTTAATGTACATTTTATTTCCCAACATGAACATCTAAATGTAAAGACACAAAGCCTCCTCCATACTGCCAGGAGTAAAATGTTTTTATGCATTATTATTTATTTGTTTTGAAAGCCTTAAAGTAGCAGTCAAATGTGAACATTTTGAGCATACAAACACCGGAACACGCTCACCCAGCATGTGTACGTGTTATTGTATAAGTATAAACTTCCCCTTGATTGCTAAAACACACAAAGTAAATAAAAAGAACTGAGGATGTGTGCTTGACAGACAGTGAACTGCGCAAACAGCCTCAGCACAACCTTGTGCTTGAGGTCAAACCTCCTCAACAGCCCCATGCAATAATATTTGTGCATAAAATACTCTTAAATTCCTTACAGTGCCAACGGGGCAATTTTTTAGATTAGTGGCTGTGAGTGTTACTGTATTAAACCATCACAAAGTATCCCTATAATCCAAGCTGAGCTTCCATAAAGCTTTAGGGCCAGGGAAATTGGGCAACACACTGTCAATCCTGCTGAGCAACAGCCAGCTAAAGCAGCTAATCTGCAGCAGCAATGATGAGAACTCATTCCTGCTGCAGGGAGGCAACTTCCACCAGACTGTGTCCAGGCCTGTCTCACCCTGTACCATCACAAACCAGCTTATCATAACAGGCTGCTGGCAGCTCTCTCACACACACAAACACACACCCCCTCCAAATCATATGCATGTGCACAAAAGACTGCTCTCATGACAATGGTGAGTCAGTGGTATCCAGGTCTCAATTTGCAAAACAATGTCCCCACAATGTGAAGCAGCTAGAACCTGTTGCCTTTTACTGGGCGAGCCAGAGTTCAAGTTACACCTGTGAATGAGTTAATTTACATGACGTCAGAGTCTCATAAACTTCTGCCCCAGCCAATAACTGCGACTTCACCAGCCCAACGGCCCAACTCTGCATAGGAAACTGAGGATTTGGGGCAGGGTGGTGCAGTGACAAATAAAAAGAAACCCGGGTGCAACCGTCTGCCACAGTAACCTTTGTGAGTGCCGTCTTACCGTCCTGGCACTTTGTGTGAGAGCTCCGTTGGTGAGGTAGGGACTACAGAGGTTCCCGAGGTCTGGGATCATGAAGAAGGGGTATCCAACATATGGAGAGTGCTGGAAGAGACCTCCATCCTGCCGTCTCCTCAGCACTGAAAAACAAGTTGATATTGTTAGCATAACGTCATGTAGCCATGGTGTATGCTTTGTTATTTTCTAATATCAGTCAAGGGACATAATTCAGAAAAAGCTTCTCATAGCGGAGATGTTGCCAGTAAGTGGCTATTGACAGGACTAGTGGAACCGGTTATACAATGATGGTGGTTGGACCACTGAGCAGGCCGAGCATTAACATTAACATTAGCTGCCTTTTAAGCCAGTTTGGCCAGCCAGTGCAATTTAACCTGAGCAGATAAGGCAGGGTCAGGAGTATCTGCTCTTTGCTTGGGTGAGGAAAGGATTTAAGGATGTTCTAAATGTGCGCGAGGACAGAGAATAGTGTGAAACGTTTTCTGAAATAACCAGTAACTATTTGAACGTGGACGTAGTCTCTGTGACGCCACCCATAGGTTTCCTGACTCGCCTAACTGCTGGCTAATCTAAAAATAGAGGTGGAGCTGAGGGGTCGATTGAAGCCTGGTTTCTGCGGCTAACTAGCCGTGACAGCAACCACCTTTCACTCAAAGTGGCCACGTTAATTATGCATAACCCTAAGCCTTAATTTAATTTAAATGGGTGAGTTATATAAATATTCACCCCTCGCACAGTTGTCACATTTGTACCAGGCTGTAAACATGTTTATTACTGCTGTAAAGCTGGGCAGCCTACAGATATGATACTAATGGAGAGAGCTGGATGTAACTTCAGGAGGTGATGTAATTATTTAGAGCTACCTATTGTCCTATTGTGTGGTTTTGTTTCACAGCCAGACGTTATGTTATTGTTTTACATTGAAGTATTGTAAATACATTTTAAAAGGACCCAGGGAAGCGTGGCTAATGGGGATCTAAACAGACAAACTGTGATTGCAGCTTTCTATAAGAGAGTAAACAGAGGAAAGTAAACATGGCAGTAGTCATCTATTTGGTAGGTTACCTGATTGTAACTCCTGCTCTGTATGTATGTGCTCTATATCATCAAGTTCAGTACACGAAAGAATGTAAACACAGAGCGATATAATTACAGTAGGACATGGTATAATCGTGTACAATATATACATCCACTGTTGTAGTGATTTCAACAGGGTGAAATCTGAATTATAAATAAAAACCTACAGCAGTATATCTATTAACCCCTTGAGTCAAGTATAAATCCAGACGTTGATAACACAAAGCACTTGTTACCCATGACAGAAATCAGTCATTGGAAAAGGAAGACAGGGTTTTTGGATTAAAGAGCAGCGGACCACAATCCACCCTGCCCAGGCACCACGATGGGTGCGGTGATCGCTGAGAGGAGAGGAAAGAGAGCCGGGATAGGAGCCATGTTGGCCCTGCTTGGCCTAAAGGTCCGGTCTGGACAAAGTGGGACTCATGTTGGCCAAGCAAAGGAAATCAGAGACTGCTGTGCCCACATCTTTACAGAGAGCAGCAGGCTCAAGACTCGGGCAAAATAAGAGAAGGTGGACTCAGTTTCCCAAATGTGAATAACCATCTTGTTTCCGCTGTTTACATTCTCCCAGATGCAAATAAAAAAAATGCACCTGTGAATGTTCATGGTGTATATATGTTTACAAATAACTGCACATTGTTTTATTTTATATGTTACCATATTTTAACATACACTTGAGGAGACTACACATTTCGTTATACAACCTTGTGATGGTATGACTAATAAATAACCTTGTACGTTGCAATAAGACATAAATTCAAGGGGAAAAGACATAACAGTGTGTTCATTACCTTCTTCAAACAGCTGACTCTGCCTGGCCCTGCTCTCCAAATCTGGATTGGGCTTGGGGCGTCTGTCTGCCTGCACATAAACCACACAAACACAGAAACGTAAACAAAGAGCGACCAACACTGTGGAGCTAGTGGGAAAAGCACACAAGCAAGCTGTGGACGATGAGGAAAAGTTGATAACACAGCTGGCCCCTAAACTCACCTCTGAGTCTGAGCTGTTGTTGGACTCGGACTCGTTGACCAGAGAGGACTTGACATCGTCCAGGTCCCGTTCAGCAGACGCATTCCTCTTCTCCTCCTGTTCCCCTTCGTCTTTAAAAGCAATCAGTTCATCATTTGCTCCCAAGTCGTCTCCGTCTCCTCCATTAAGCTGCGGCATGTTTGGACGTTAGCTGCAACCGCTAACTAACATTAAAAAAGGTCAAGAGTTAGACCGAGTTATGGCTAACTTACAGTTTGAAGAAGAAGGGGAAAAAACAGCCTACGACACTGGAAAACCTGTTATAAAATACTTAAAGTTAGCTAAACGCATCGCAACCCGCGTTATTCTTGTTTTTTTTGAAGGATTCTTTGAAAACTAGCCAACAAGCTAACTTAGCTAGCTACCTGAGGCGTTCACTGACGCGTCAGTTTCTGGCGTCGAACTCCTGAGGTCTGGAAGTCCTCCTTGAGCGTGTTTCCACCAAGAAAAGAGTCCATAAAAAGCAGTGCATTGGCAATATATGACCCAAATGGTTAAAAAGGCGATCATATAAAACACTCATAACCAAATCAGTACCGCTGACATTATAAAAACCGAGCGCCGTCCGACTGAAAAGTTTACGTCCCCTTCTTGTGCAGTTAGGGAGAAAGTAACGTTTGAGGCCCTTGTTGATTTAAATCCTCCATCGTTATTCCAGTTTAAAACGACCATAATTCCAACTAACGGCGATTGAAAGTGGCCGTTTCCGCATTTTACAAGCTTTGCTGATTCAAGACGTTTTTCTGGTGGGCTGCGGTGTGGAGGCGTGGGAAACAGGCAGACTGGTTGGTGCTTCTGAAGTGGAGTGGAAGGAAAAGACTGCGGGGCTGTCGGAATACACACGGAGGAGGAGGGGATCCTTACAGACCCGGGATCAGTTTAGCGAGCCCCGCTCCTCTAGTGGCGCAGCAGGAGAGCAGTTAGCTGAACTGATCCCAGACCAGGTACAACAGGTTGATCCCATTTGTGTGCAGAGGCGGCACAAAGAGGAGGGAGGGAGGAGTTTAAGGACAAAAAGGAGACCTTTAAGACGTTAAAGGAGCAGTTAGACACTTTTCTGACCTTTACAACCCGAGGAGGGCGAAAACAATCTGTTTCTTTCAGCCTTTGGCGACTTCATATGTTGTGTGCAGAGATGGAGGAAATACTCATGTCCTTTGCTAAACTGATGTCTCCGCACACGTAAATATTATTTCATTTAATTTCATATCATATCATGCACAAACCTGGCACATTGACACATATTTGTTGTTAATTGTTAATCGTATATTCTGTATTTTTATATTTTGTCAATTTATATATTTATGTACACTATATCCTCTTCTGTTGCAATACATCTGCACAACACAAACCCGGAATAATGAACATGTAAATATCTGAAACGTTGTTCTTTCTCTGCAGAATCAGAATCGGGTTTATTGCCAGGTACATTTTCACATACGAGGAATTTGCCTTGGTATAAATGGGTGCTTACATGAACATAAATATATGAAAAGTAAGGAGATCGATAAATGTACAAGTATTAACATAATGTATGAGTGTGTGTTTGGGGAGGGGGGCATGAGAGTTCCTTAATATTCTCTATTTACCTGCTTTCTATTCTATAATATCTTCTATTCCTTAATATCTTCATACGCAAAGTGAGCAACTGTAATGTCCCCTCTGGGGTCAATAAAGTATTTATTACTCTGATTCTGATATTGTTAAACGTCATGTATTCAAAATTGTACTTAAAGTTCCTATGAAAGGTGTTATTGCTTTCACATATTTAAGTGTTTCCTGTATCCTAAACACACAAAGCTATGTATGGACTTGTCATGGCTATTGAGTCATGGTTGAATGTGTGTTACACCAATAGAGATCCTCACCCTTATCGCTCCATGGGATCGTCGCAGATTGTTGTAAAACTATAAAGTAACATTTCGTTTTGCTTCTCTCGTCTCACACAATAAACGTCACCAACATGTTAGCACTGTAATGCTAAGCTAACATTTGTTGCTCGCTTGCCACTAGCTAGGTAACTTAGATGTTTCTCACCTGATGTGTTTAATCCAACGACTAAGTTTGTGGGTATGGAATTCCACTTTCCCACTAATTTAATCGGAAATTAATAAAGGTATTTGTTATCTTATCTTATCTTTCTGAACTGCGGCACTGCCACGGCTCTAAGAGGAGGCGGTGCGAGGTCATGAGGTCTTTATTAACCACTGCAACGATTTGTCGATTGATCGATTAGTTGAATTAAATGAATCGCCAACTATTTTGATAATTGACTTTTTTTTGAGTAATTTTTTATGGGAAAAATTTTCCTAATTATCTGATTCCGGCTTCTTAAATGTGAATATTTTTTGGTTTCTTTCCACCTCAATGACAAACTGAATATCTATGGGTTTAGGACAAAACAGGGACATTTGAGGACATCATCTTGGGCTTTGGGAAACACTGATATCAACTTTTTTCACCATTTATTGACATTTTATGGACCAGAAAAAAGTAATCGACAGAGTTGACTAATATTAAAAATTATTGTTAGTTTCAGCCCTATTTTATTGACGCCCAGAAAAGAAATTCCCATTAAAGCAGTTGTCGCAACTATACTTAAAAGCAATAACAAAGTGTTGGCTGAGAGGCTGAGGTTGGGCCATGTGGTGCTGTTTTCGGACTCGCTGCACAAATAATTCGCGGATCTCAAAAAGCATAGTCAATTGGTTTTTATTGATGAAAATATGCAACTTAATATATTGTCAAAACCATATATTCAAAATAATCACAACAATCAAAACTGTAAAGAACACCGCGGTCAACAAAAAAATACAGCGTCCCATTCACTCACCCTCTAACTGCCTCTGGCCTTGAACAGGTGCGTAAATTAACTATACAGAAATCACCACACACATCCACGTGACTTACCAAAAAAGTGCAACAGCAAATAAACAGTTAACCTATATACACAATTAATTCCAAATGTGCAATAAATCAGTTCATGACTCCTACGGCAGTATTAGAAACTGTATAAAGAGGTAAAAACTAGAACTAGTTGAAAGGCTAAATACAGCAAAATACCATATACAAGATACAAAATAAAAAAATTCAAGTAAATCACAATCAAAAGCTTTATACATTATTATCACATGCTTGAAGGGTGTTCAAGGAATGATGGAAAGTCCAAAGTAAATGAGGAAAATATATGCGTTTATACTCACTTCTATGCACATCTATACAGCTGCATGTTCGGTAGAATGAAATCCTTTCCATCAATTAGAATCAGTCTCACATGTACTTCTTGTGTTTTAGCTGCAGAGCACAATAACAGGTCAGCCACAGGTCAAAGCCATGACCAGCTGTAACAACTGTGGAAGGAAAACATGTGTTATGTCCATCAACACAACTGCAAGAGTTTACACATTATACTGAACTTTACAGAGTGACAAGCTGAGAGAGTAAATTAGAGGAGATTGAAACAAGGCAAGAAGGAAAAAGCTGATGTCATTTGGATTTATACCTTCCTGTACTGTATATGTCCAACCGTGGCCCATGGTGCAACAGCATGACAGCAGGAAACACTGACAGAACAAACATAAACTAAGATTCAGAATCGGATTATATTTAAGGCTCAGAGTTGTTAGTTTTTATTATTTTATTAAACCATTTGAAGCAGATATTAGCCCCTATTAGCATAACACAACTGAATCTGGGCGGGCGTTTATATGGACGACTTGAGATCTGGCTGGTCGTTGGCAGAGACGGCCTACTGGAGATCTATAAGATCTGGCTTGGCGTCAGTGGAGACGGTTGACTGGAGATCCGGCTGGGTGTTGGCTGAGACGGCCGACTGGAGATCTGGAATATCTGGCTGACAGGCCAGGGTGTGGGTTGGAGGCTAGCTGGTGGGGTGTGGGACTGAGGCTAACAGGCCAGGGTAAGGGCTACATTACTTCACATACTCGCCTGCATACTTTGCGTGTACCTGGAGGATTAAACTTGAATCCACTAGGGGCCGGATCATCCCTCGCCAACGATCTCGGACTAGCTCCAGGGTTTTATTGTAAACATCCCGCCTTAAATCCCCTTTTTTAAAGTCTGCTGCTTAACTTCTTCTTCTTCTCTTGCATTTAATGGCGGTTGGCAAACCAACTGCCTACAGCCGCCACCTGGGACTGCTGTTTAGAACAGTAGACTGCTGCTGCTGACTTGTGTGCAAACGTGTAGTTAAAAGCAAGTATGTCCAGGGCTTTACCTGCTATCGGTCGTAAAATAGCTCCAACCAGTAAAATCGTTTTAAAACCACATTATGCCTTATTTTTATATTTAATTTGTTAAATACACACAATGTCTACTACAGCTTTTAAAATAAGCTTTTAAGTTGTCTTTGCTAAATTAGACAAGGTTCTATGTATGCAGACAGGTGAAATGTATGTCCAGTATTTTTAAGTATTTCCTAAAATAGTTAAGTTACTTGAAGGACTAACTTTAAGTTACGTAGTTTTGTAATATTAGCTATTTCTAACTTTGAGTGTTTCTGGGTATTCTGGAGTACTACTGCGTATGTGAACTAGTAGTATGAAGCCTTTAGTATCTCCAGAGGAAGATGTGTGAAATCTGATCATTTGCATCAAGTGATGTCACTATTATTGACTACTATTTGGAAATTAAACAAATCTGTTTGTGTGTAGTTAGAAAGAAGTGAGCTCACCAGACCTCTTTAGCCTGCTGCTTGTCTTTGCTTCAGGCTACATTACTACTAGCATAACACACCCACATTTCTAACTGAACTGTCAGGGGTCGAGTTGCACTGGGGGTAAGGTAGATGCCAGGTTTTAACAAGGAAGATGAATGTGTGGAATAAAAAAAAGATATCCCTGTTCTCTGTTCTGCTGCATCGATATTGATACCTTTCTTACGAGTGCGATAATAAACCTGTGGGACGCACATTTAACTTTACCTGTAGACGGTCGAGTCGTTAAGCCAATCCAGCCTTTGGGCTTTCTTAAAAGTGCTCTTTGTGCTCCAGTCAGCAAAAGGTGAAACAGTGTGAGAGAGAGAGAATTACCACATCTGGAGTCAGGAATACACACCCAGGTCTCCAGTTTCATTTCCACCATTACGAGCAGGAAACAGGGTTACAGACCTGAAACCTGCAAGCGTTCACAGTTGATTTCTGTTACTCTGGGGTTTAGTCTCTACTGTAATGGTTTCACTTTGCGATGAAGCTAAAAAAAAAAATCCATCACATTCCTGATGGGCCTCTCCAACCCTGTCAGGCAGATTGAGATATGCCCGGTCTGCTGGAGGGGAATAATGAAAATGAAAAAAAACACAAACTGTGGCTAGACACTGAGACAGCCATTGTAAGCTAGTACTGCACATACACACCAGCAGCTGTGTATATCAGCAGGAGGGGATTACATAGAGGGTTCAGTCTCTGGCTCTGGGCCAGACTGTAAAGATTCTCTCCCACAAACTGTGCAGGACCTGGGGGAAGGAAAGAAGAGGCAAAGGGGGTGTCACTGCATGCCTCTGTTCAATCGTAACCTCCAAATCTGCCTCCTACTGTAGGATGTGTAGCTGACCTCAACCACTGTGTTTGGGGTTTAGAGTTTGTGTATGTTTGTGGGTGTGTGTTGAGGTTTGAGGGCCTGTCGGTGGGGAGGAAATCCCTCTTTTGTTTCCGAGGAAGCCAAGTGTATGCTTTGTGTGTTTAATGGAGGAAACCCAAAGACGGTACAAGCGGAAGGATGAATATGTGCCTCACTAAGTCTGACAGCTGTGGGGAACCAGACAAAAAGAGAAAGTAATGGTGAGAGGCGCTTTGAATGTCCATGTGTTCCAACT